ACCGGAACGGACCCTAAATTACCGGACCGGAACGGGGTGGAAATCATACATAAACCTACCTGAACGGACCGTTAGATGTCTTGCAAATGTCATTTCATATACTTCCATGCAATTTTTATAATAAATCGGCAAACTTGGGGGGAAAGTGGTAAAATTAATTTTCTTTAATTACCGGAACGGACCCTAAATTGCCGGAACGGAGTGGAAAACCTACCGGAACGGACTTTTAGATTTCTTGCGAAGGACATTTTATGTCCTTCCAAGCGATTTAGTAAAATGGGAAAATTTGGGTTTATCTGGTTTGTACATTTGATGAATTATTGGTGATTTTTTTATGTATTTGAAAGCAAGATGTTTCCTACAGCTATTTACTTATTTAGCAATACACAATCTAGAATTCCAGAACCAGAGTTTGCTGCATTCAAATATTTAAAATCAACTTCATTTATATATAACATATATGATATGTGGGGTAAATTCTGGTGATTACCGTAATTGGACGGAAGAGGTCGTCAGAAGTCTATTACATTTAATTTATCTACCTAAATTTTGTTATATTTTGTGTAAGTTGTCCTGAGATCCCTTAAAAAGCATTGCCCGATTCTGAATCGTGTTTTTTGTATTCTTGTAATAATATTTTTTATTTTTTTTTTGGTGGGCGGGCGCGTACTTTTCCTTTTTTTAACTTTATTTTGAGTTATGCTCGCCTTCCAGGTATCTCTGCATTTTGTTTGTTTGTCCAGTTTTTGTGTTGTTTTGTTTTTATGTCAGAGTACCGAAATAAATGATTGATTGATTGGATAGAATGATAGAAAATAACATTTTCATTTACGCCACTTAGCGGATGTAAATTGAGCAATGAATTCCTGAATCATCTCTTATCAATATGAATTGATGATAAAAATCGATAATCAAAACCTTCTTACATGTTATTAACCTTTAATTTTCCTTGTAGATAAGATAACGTAGTCATAGATTCAGATTGAAACAAATAAAAAGTGTTTCCACAAACATTCTTGTGTAGGTATTGTAACTATGTAGCACAACATGAATATCCACCTAAACCTGTCATTATTAGAGATAACAATGTTATTTGACCAGTCTACACCTATGTGTGTAGGTGTGAATGATTCTGATTGCAATACTTCTTACAAGACTTCCTTACTTCCTTTTGGTATGAATAATAGTATAAATAAGAGTGGATATTCAGCCTGGTACTTTTTTGGTGATGGTATGTCTTTCGATGAATATTTGTGTCATTTTTTATCCATTACTAGATAGATAGACACAGTTTGAGTGTTGCAGTGAGTCACTTGAAGAAGCGTTATTATCCAGAGGGTAAGAAGTCATACTTTGCTACTCTGTTTTGTAACAGGAAAAAGTTGGCCACTAAGACGCTAACGGAATATGCTACTTCCCCTCGTGCATTGTCAAGGAAGGAAGGCTTACTCTTCTTTAGATGTTACTGTCGTGAGAATCTGATTAAGCAGCGTTTCATTTCAGGTTTTCCTGATTTCGAGATGTGTAAGACTTTGACAATCAGGCAGACTCAGAGCCTGGATGAATTGATTACTGTAACCGATGTTTGTCATTCTATTGATGCTACGCACAATGCACCTGGTTGTAATCGTGCTAGTAAGCCCATGGTAGCCGTTGTGAATAGTTCTGAGTGTGATGACAGTGTGGGTGAATCTGGATTTGGTAAGCTGCAGAATGATATTAAAGAGATGCTAGACCGTTTTTGTGCTAGGTTTGACCGAGGTCATCGACCCCAATTTTGCAGAGTGGTCGTAGAAGAGTGGTCGTAGGAATGCAAGTATTACTTGCTATGGCTGTGTGACCAAGGGTCACACACGTAAGAATTGCCCTGAGAATCTGTGCCAGAGATGTAATGGCAGAGGACATATAGCTTCCCGATGTAATACGTTTTCTTATTGATTCTGGTAGCGCTGCTACACTCATAGATTATTCGTTTTTTGTTCTATTAGTAAGAATGAGTGTGATTTGTCTCCTTGTGATATTTGTTTCCAAACTGCTAATGGAACTTCTCTGAAAGCTCGTGGTATGCTTGATTTGAAAATTTGTATTGATTCTGTGAGTGCTATTCAGAGAGTGATTGTTGCTGATCTCTGTTGGAGCTCCGTATGGGTTGCTTGGAATGGAATATTTTCAAGAGCATGACTGTGTTTTGCATATGCCTGCAGATCAAATGGAGGTTGATGGTAAAACTGTTTCCCTGATTAAGCCTGTATCTTTTGTCCCTTGTTGCAGATCTGTTGTAGATAAAAGTGTGACTGTTCCCAGAGAAAGTGAGATGGTGATTTATGGTCGTTTGAATTGACCGTGGACACCCAATAGTGACGCCATAGCTGTGGCAGAGGCTGCGTGTGTTTGAGAGTGAATATCGTGGACATTTTCATGGTTCATTTTTATTCCCCGGAGTAGTGGACGCCTCATGCTCACTAGTGTCTGTTATGATGGTCAATGTTAGCAAGAAAGCGGTAGAAATACCTACTGATTTGCTGATCGGTTTACTACGCCCAAACGAAAACCTGACTGTTTCTTCTCTGTAATAGTTGTGCCTGGTGATTCATGGACACCAGGAAACTACCTGAACATTTAAAGAAGCTCCTTGACAATCCAGAAGATTTAACAGATGAACAATGTCAAAGTGTTCATGATTTGCTCGAATTTCAGGATGTTTTTGCTGGTCCTGATGAAAAACTGGGAGGAACTTCTGTGATCAAACATAAGATTAAAATTCCAAAATATGAACCAATTAAAGTTACACCGCGATGCATGAGATGGGTGAAGATATGAATTGCAGAGAAACAAATACAGAACATGCTTGATCAAGGTGTAATGGAACCGAGTAAAAGTCCATACAATTCACCTACTGTTCTCGCTCCTAAAAAAGACGGAACTTCTAGATTTTGTATTGCTTTCAGATTGTTGAACCATGTGAAAGTCGATCAAGTCGTCGGAGATCTGTTTTCCCCAGTACTCCGACGTACGATACCTTGGGAATGAGATGGGCACGAAGAAGGTAGAGCCCTTGCTGTGGTTTAAGAGGTGCGTGAGACAATTACTCAAGACTCTGGTGTAATTTGGATCCGATCGAGCGTTTCTCGTTTTCCCTGGGCACTGATGTTAATCCCCAAGTACTTCTACACCTCTTCCGGCCTCATGCTTGGTACTTTTCTCTCCGTCTATTTCTAGTAGATTTTTTGTTATCTACAACCCATCTCTTTTTCTTACCATAAACCTTGATCGAGAGGCTACTGTAGTGATATTTCATATATTATGTTATATTAATTCAGTGCCTAAGTTCATGACCTTTCATGCCGTTATTATCTTGCTCTGGCCTGCCCCCAGTGTATAACATGTATAACGTTTTCTGATTCGTGAAGTAAACACAGTACTCTGAAACAACGAGTTTTATTCTGATAATATTCTACACTCCGGTATGAAATCAAGGGTAGAGATATTATTACATGGTGGCAGCGGTGGGATGATAAACTAAAACCAACAAAGAAACTCACATAGAAACAAGAAACTCAGTAGTCTAATAGCTGCATATGCCAGTATTGGAGCCCGCCGGTACCGGTAGCCTAAAGTTAGCAATATTAAAATTTTGTGTGACTAAGTGTGCCTGAGGGTAGACTTCAATTGTGATAAAAAACAAATATGTCGAGCAAAATGCCCATGATGGACTGGCATTACAAGCCACTTGCCGAATCCTTCAAAGCATTCAAAGCTAGAATGAATCTTTTCCTTGAAGATAATGAAGTCACATCAAATGCCAAAAAAGCTGTAAAAATATGTATTGCTATAGGAGACGAAGGAATGAGACGTGTGCTAAATTCTGGACTCACTGAAGAAGACAGAAAAAATCCAGATGAAATCTGGAACCTTCTTGAAAGCCAGGTTGACGCCACTGTCAAAATAAGCTATCGTGTGCACAGATTAGAATTTGCACAACTACGACAAAAGCCGGAGGAAACTATAACCGAATTTATAACAAGAATGCGGGACAAAGCTTCGAGGTGTGAATTCTCAGTTGATGAATTAAATGAACGCCTGATAGAATTAATAATATTGTCGACGCCAATAAATGATTTTCGCAAGGAATTATTGTCTAAACCTAAAGGTCATTCGATTAAAGATGTTCTTGAAAAAGGAAGAGAATACGAAGCTGTACAATCATCTCAAACATCAATCTCAAGAATGGGGACGTCAGAAACTAGATTGGACAGAATAAGGTTTGGGTCGAAAGGTTGCTTTCGCTGTGGATTAAAGCATCAACCACGGGATTGCCCTGCTTATAATGACATATGTAATGCATGTGCAAAAAAAGGCCATTGGAAGAAAATGTGCCGCAATAAATCACAGCATACAAATCGATTTGTTAAACATAACAAAAATAAAAGTGTAAGTCATCACTACCAGAAGTCGTCAAAACAACGCTGGAAGCGAGATTACACAAATAAACAAGACGAATTGAAATTGCAGTGCAATGATGACAACAATGATGATTGCCAAACAAATCAATTCAGTCACATCAAAATAAGTGATTTATCCTGTGAAAAATTGAATTCAAATGAAGCATATACAACAATGCAACTTCTGTATGATAACCCATATGTTGAAGGGCCGCTGAGATTGAAAGTTGATACAGGTGCTGGTGGAAATACTTTGCCTATGAGAGTATATAAACGAATGTTTGGAACACGTCCTGCCAGACAAGTTTTGACACCAGAACCAAAGGTGAAACTTTCGGGATATTCTGGCGCAAACATAAAGTGCCATGGGTCGATACTACTGAAAATCAGAAAAGCAAAACAAGACGCTTATAGAAAACAAAAATTCTATGTTGTTGATGTATCAGGACCAGCATATTAGGCCTTCCAACATGCAAGTTGTTCGATCTTGTGAGACTAAATATTGATCAAATTAAATCGAATATAAAGGATACCAAAATTGATATCTGCGGAAATAATATGCAGAAACCATCGAGCAAAAATATGCTGATGCAGACAAAAATTAACACAGTTGAAGATTTGAAGCTAGTGTATCCTGATTGCTTTGATAAAATTGGATGTTTCCATGGGGAAGAAAAATTGCATTTAAAAAAAGATGCTGAACCATTTATTGATCCTCCAAGAAGAGTGCCAATACATCTGCGTGACAAAATAAAAGCAGAACTTGATAAAATGGAAAAGATGGGAATCATCAGAAAAGTCACCCAGTACACAGACTGGTGTTCATCACTCACTTATGCAGTGAAACAAGATGGAAGTCTTAGAATGTGTTTAGACCCCAGAAAGCTTAACCAGGCTTTAAAAAGATTTCCACACAAAATTCCAACAATAGAGGAAGTTACTCCTGAATTCACAAAATCCAAATATTTCACAAAACTGGATGCAAAAGCTGGATACTGGAGCATCAAACTTGCACCTACTTCACAAAAATTAACAACATTTAGAACTATGTGTGGACGATTTTGCTTTCTTCGACTACCATTTGGTTTGAATGTAAGCCAAGATTTATTCCAGAAAAGAATGGATGCAATAATTGAACAATGTGAAGGATGTGTTGGAATATCTGATGATATTGTTATTCACGGTTCAACTGAGGCCGAACATGACAAACGATTAGCGCACTTCATGGAAGTGGCACGAAAAGAAGGTCTGATGTTGAATTCACAAAAATGTGTGGTCAAAACAAACAAAATTTCATTTTTCGGAAGAATATACACCGATAAAGGAGTGTTTTCAGATCCTAAAAAAGTAGAGGACATTATAGAAATGCCAACTCCACGAGATAAACAAGAGCTACAAAAATTCATGGGAATGGCAACATTTCTGGCATGTCATTTGCCGAATTTATCTGAGAAATCTGCAATACTCAGAGACTTATTGAAGAAAGATATTTCATTTCAATGGGATAGAGATCATCAAAAAGTATTTGATGAAGTAAAAGAAATGGTCGCGTCGAACTTTGGATTGCAATACTATGATCCAAAATTGCCAGTGAATTTGGAAACTGATGGATCCATGAGAGGACTTGGAGCAGCACTTGTACAGAAGCATGGAGCTGTAGCATTTGCAAGTAAATCCTTGTCAAATACTCAATCTAATTACAGCAATATTGAACGAGAATGCTTAGCAGTGGTTCATGGTATCCAGAGATTTCACCACTATCTTTATGGCAAAGATTTTACTGTAATAACTGACCATAAGCCATTGGAAATGATTTTTAAAAAGCCAATTCATTCTGCACCACCAAGACTGCAAAGGATGATAACGAAAATCCAAGGATATGATTTTGTGGTAAAATATCGTCCAGGTAAAGAGATGATACTTGCAGATACGCTATCAAGGTTGCCAAACACTAAAAAAAGTGATGATATTGAACTTGACAGCAGAATAGAGAGTATCATATGCGAATCTTTAAATGTGGAAATTGATATGTTGAATTTTTCATTTAACAAGCAAGCTCAGATCCGAGAAGAAACTCTTTGTGATCCTGTTTTAAAATCCTTATGTCAGATGATTTATGAAGGATGGCCTGATGAGATAAAAGAAGTACCAAGTGCATTAAGAGACTTTTGGAACTTCAGAGATGAATTAGCCATTGAAAATGGTATTATATTTAAGGGTAAGCAAGTACTTATTCCAGAACCTATCCGATTGTCAATTTTGCAACAATTGCACCATGGTCATCAAGGTATTGAGAAAACTCGTAGACTTGCACGAGATTGCGTATATTGGCCAAGAATATATAAAGATATTGAAAATATTTGCAAGTCATGTGAATATTGTCAAGAACTACAACCACAGCAAACAAAAGAACCAATGATCATGCACGAACGACCATCACATCCATGGGTCAAGCTTGGTTCGGACTTGTTCGAAATCCAAGGTAGAAACTTCTTGATAATTTCTGATTACTACAGCAGGTACCCTGTTGTAAAAGAATTAAATTCAATGACAGCAGAATATGTGGTTTCCAAAACCAAAGAAATATTGTCCATGTTTGGAACTGTGAGAGAGATTGTGACAGACAATGGACCGTGTTTTTTAAGCAAATATGATAAATTTTGTGAAGCGTGGGGAATTACTCATACAACCAGTACAGCTAGACACCCACAGAGCAATGGTTTTATCGAACGACAAATTCGATATATTAAACCCATTATGAAAAAGTGTATCAAATCCGGAGGAGATATAGATGCAGCACTTTTAAATGTTCGTGCAACACCGATTGACAATGTATTACCAAGCCCAGCAGAACTTCTGTTTGGAAGAGGAATTTCTACATTATTGCCTTGTCATTCAGACAATACTGTTCCACAAATTTACAAAAACAGAGTGAAACATAATACCGATATACAAAAGCAATATGCTGATCAACACACAAAAAATTTACCGCCTTTTCACAATGGACAAGATGTGAGAGTGTTTGATAAAGCAAAAGATATGTGGATTCCTGCAAAAGTGATTTCAAAGAAGAATGATCGTTCATACAACATCGAAATGAGCAATGGAAATCAGCTGAAACGCAACAGAATTCATTTGCGTGAAAGCTTGCCAGCTTCACCATATGTGGAATCTTCGAGCACAACCAATGTTGAGAACAATACACCAGCAACACCTTTGATGGAAAGAGAGGAGAATGTATTCAAATGGACCTCGCCTAAACCATCAAATACTAAAGAACGTTCAAACTCGACCAACAAACAAGAGATTGCTGATAAGCCACACAGCAGTAATCAGTCTGAGGGAAGTTTAAAAATTCCAGCCCAGACCCGATCAAGCAAGAACCGACAATAACACGGTCTGGAAGAACAGTCAAAGTTCCTCAAAGATACCAGCATTAATTGAATGTTTAATAATTCCTTTTGAGTGTTATTTCTTGAACATTTAAGTGTATTGCAAGTTATGGCTTGATTTGGGAAAAAGGGGGATGTAGTGATATTTCATATATTATGTTATATTAATTCAGTGCCTAAGTTCATGACCTTTCATGCCGTTATTATCTTGCTCTGGCCTGCCCCCAGTGTATAACATGTATAACGTTTTCTGATTCGTGAAGTAAACACAGTACTCTGAAACAACGAGTTTTATTCTGATAATATTCTACACTCCGGTATAGAAATCAAGGGTAGAGATATTATTACAGCTACTACACTTTTTCACATTTGGACGAAGGACGCATCTTCTAGCAGTCTAGTTGGTTTTAGGAAGCGGTCCACTAGATGCTGTAGCTCAGTGGTTCTCAGCCTTTTACGGATCGTGGCCCCCTTCCGGAAGCTTTTTGCACTCGTGGCCACCCTGTTCGTCATTCTAAAAAAATTGATGTGTCAGATTGTATTATGTATTTGCGACCTTTTATAGAATGCAAAAACAAACCATGGGTAAAAAAGTCAATGCTTTTTAGATTAGTGAACGATCATTGGAAATCTTGCGCTTGGGACTGTCTGACTAGGTTCCTTACATCAGGACAGTTCCTGGATTTTGCTTTGTTGGTATCAAGATAAAAAAAAAATAGATTGGCACAGATAGGTTGTGGTAAATTGAACTAGCAAAGCTTTCTTACTAAGTAGTAGGTAAGAATCACAAAGGAATACCCAGAAACTCGAAAAGTCTTCTTTGCTTGATTTCAAAGCAAACTTGTTAGCATACATCGGCAGCCATGTCATCAATAAAGTCAAAGCCAACATAACTGTCGTTCCATTTGGGGATTGGGAATTTTCATATTAGGCTTCTGCAGTTATAACATGATATCGACCGTTATCTCGCAGTCTCGCGAAACTGCCCGTCTGCTGTTAGATGGCCTACCAACAAACTATTCGGATTAGTAGATTCAAAATTCCATTATGATCAAACAATTTGCACACACAAAAAAGTGAATACACCTAGTGACTGAAGTAATAAAACTGAGTGAACGGGGAATTTTCTTTTAAATGAAAAGAATGCAAACGAAGTCGCTTTATAATAAATTATTAGCCTTGTGTCGTGGCCCCCCTTGAACTGCTTCGTGGTTGAGAACCACTCCGGTTGAGAACCACTGCTGTAGCTTATAAAGGCGTCATCTGCTAGAAGGCGAGAGGTCTTCGAGGGCCGCGAAGGCTTCATCAAATACTTCATTGGAAAGTATTGAAGAGAGAGGATCCCCCTGCTTGACACCGATGGTCGGGTGGATTGTAACGCCAATTTTTGTGGTTGTTGCACAAGTGTAGCAGCTCGTGAAATATGCTACCAAAGGAGGATGGGGTACCCATCCTTATTGCAGCACGTCTAATGCTCGAGTGGTGCACTGAGTCAAAAGCTTTACTCAAGTCCAGGAACGCAATGTTCAATGGATTTTGTTGTTTTCTTGCATTGTCCAGCAGGGCGTCGAGTAGCAAGATGTTTTCTGCACAGCCATCGGTTGGCGGAACGCATTCCCCAAGCTGTCTTCACAATATCTTATGGAAGGTCCGAGGTATTTTGTGCCTATAGTCATAGGCCTAAATTCTCCCGGACTTGTTGGGGAAGACACTTTCGGTATTAATATCGTTTGTGGATGACGAAGTGCTTGGGGTTGACTACAGCTTAGCAACCACAGGTTGAACATATTCGTGATGGTGCTCGGAGGAATGGACCTCAGCATCCGACGAGAGACCCCGTCCAGACCTGGACTGGAGCCGATGCATT